CCCCCCCCAGTCTCCTCCCTCAGCCTTCTCTTCTCCAGGCTGAATAGAGCTCTATTCCCAGCTGTCTCAGCCTTTCCTTGTAGGAGAGATGTTCCAGTCCCTTAATCATCTTCACGACCCTTTGCTGGACACTGTCCAGTAGCTCCATATCCCTCTTACATCCCTCTTGTACTGGGGAATCACGGAGCTACTCTCTTCATATATCACTCTACTAAACATTTTAAGATATTTCTAACAAAAGTTACATGTAAGATATTATACATTGGGGTTTATTTCCACTCATTTTCTTCTAATTAAGTAACAACAGATGATGGTAATATTTTCTTGTCATAACTTGATCCTAAGAGAGGTCAAAAGTTCATGGCAGATAGGCAGTTAAATTTTTTTCAGCTTGCAAGACATTCACATAATATATCCAGACAAGGCTCCCACTCTGCAGTTACCTAGCTTGTGTTAGACTACAATTTCTGAGACTTTTTTGCACTTAAGCCATTCAGTTGTGACTGTTTCACAAAGGATTAAGAACTGATATGCAGTTTTGCTACTGTTAACAGAGCAATAAACAGCCATTTGCAAAAGTGGTGTTGAATTAATATGTCTTCACACAGCTTGCATTCAAGTCTACAGGGGGCTCCAAAACTCTTTGCAGTGATCTATTTTGGATTAAATTAGTGTAATGTAATTTACATCAAAAACAATTTCTGAACATATCCATTTCTATTCCTCTATCAGGAATGAAGGAAAAGAAGGGAGGAAGGAAGAAAAGGATGATATTGCATTCATTCATTCATTCATTCATTCATTCATCATTTCTTCTATTTTTAGACTGTAAGATTATTTCATCTGCTCTCATATGAATTATAATTAATATCATTAATAAGGTGCTTAGCCTACATTGAAATAAAATTAATGTTATTAGACAGAGAATAAATCTCTAAGGCATGTCACATCCAGTGACATTATAACTGTGAATGCTTTAAACATTGAATTCTGTTATACACACATCAGTATGCAAAAGCAGTAGACACACACAGTCCCAAAGCTTATCCAGAGACTTTGTATTTCATGTTTTTGACATGGACTGTAATCATACTCTTCACTATTTTTTTAAGGAGTCACCAACAGGAAATATTCAAAGGAGTATTTTATTCATGTGTCTTATAGTTTTTTTTCTCCTCGTAGCATGAAGATTGCCTTATAATTGAATTATTGTCCAATCAGGTAATTGATTCTCAATAAATAAAGAAATGAAAATTGAATTGTCTTTTATTTAGGATTCTCAGTCTGAGTGGACTTCTCTGTCTTACTAAAAAGACTGTTGCTTTTTCTCTTGCAAATGGCAGCTAAAGTATTTTTTCCTGATTTCAGTCGATCTCTCAAAGAGAGATCAGAAACAATATTTCATTTGTATCTCATAGTCCAATCTTGATATAACTTTTTCATCATTGGTACCTGACAGTGCTAACTTCTACTCCTACTTGTGACTTCTATTATTTTTTTTTAAATGATTTTTCACATTTTCTAGTCAGCAGATAACACATTGTAAGTTTCTTTTAGAAACGAGTTAAAGCTGGTGTTTCTTTTCCTACCACATGTCAAAGACTTCTGATGTTGTACTATAATGCATTTTTTCATACACTCATTCTTTCCTACTATGCTTGTGTTGTCTTTAATTAGGAGGTTTTGCAGCACATTGTTATATCTGGACTATTTTGTTCTTATTGCTTTTGTAAGTTACATTTATCTATGAATAAACACTAAATTCTGTCTGGTGAATAATAAAACCTCCCTTTGTAGAAAGCTTATAGCTTTTACTTTTTCAGCTCTTCCAGACAATTTTGTTTGGCTTTTCTACTGTAACATCTTCAGAGGCATTCCAAGAAAATGCTGGTTACTGACATCAGCAGTACAGTGACTAAATCTACTTTGTCTGACATAGTTGATGTATTAAAGACTGGAATTTTCAGTGGAGGTTAATGGAAATAAGTACTCACTTCAATTGAAAAAAAAAAAAAAAATTCAAAAAAGCTACATTATTCCTGCAGACTCCTTTGGAAATGCTAGCCATAACTTTTTTTCATCATTCTAATAATAGAGGAGAAAGTAACAGAGGAACTAAACACATTTTCTGCCTCCTGGAGCAAATATGTTATCTGTCAACAGAGTAGTCTTACAAAACATAAGCAAAACTAAGTAAACAGACCCCCAGCTGAAACAATACTTGATGCTTGTATACTAGTAAATAACAGATGAGGATCTGTTTCCTGATTTAACTACCTCCACTGCCCCTGATGCAGTAAAGGTCAATAAATGATTAAAGGACAATACATGAGGAAACTTGTATTCTTCTCTGAATTTGTTTGAAATTCCTATGTTATCACCACTATATTTGTATCTCTGATTTATCCCAAGCTGTTTTAATAATATGCTTGTGTCCTACAGTTTGGTTTGTTTGACACGTCTCCTAAGAGCTTGTGGTCATTCTGGAAGAGAGCAGTGGTCTTCAATCACCACTCCTGCATCATTCTATAGCTTGAAACAGAAGCATAACAGCTGCCTTGGTTTGCTACTTGCTGCTTAAACCCCAGAGTCACTCTCCTGAAGGAGGCAGCAAAATGTAATGGCAGCAGCAAATGACCAATTAGGCTGGAATAAGCTAAATTTCATTAACAGAAAAAGTAGTAGTAAAATCAAGCACAGACAGTAAGACCAGCTAATGCTCTGTAGCTTTACTACAACGTGGATGTAAACAGACAACAACAGAAGCTTACTTTTACCTAATGCAAGCATTTGATTTACCAAATGCTGGTGGCCACTGACAGAAGTGACAAAGCTTCAGGGTGTAATACAATTGGAATGAAAGCCACTCTCTCTTTACAAAACCTGATTCACAAGAGGTTTTTTTTTCTGTTATCTCCCACATTGAAAACTCTTCCTAAGCGTACCACAAGGGTTATCCCCATTTTTGCGAATACTGCACTAAATATATTACGAGTCATTAAATGTGCCGTGCTGCCTTTCGTCTTGTAGCTTGTACAACTAGACTTCTTGATGTAAAATATGCAAAGCAATATACATTATGTTTAACTGCACGTTTGCATAGTTTAAAAATATGTATGAACCAAAGCTAAATAACTGTTTATAGCATCTTAGTAAGGAAGCAAAACTTTCTTAAAGAAAGCCAATTTGCACTGAGTTGTACTGAGAACAGAATTGGCTTGGGTATATGGTAAGCAGGAATGTAAGCTTGTCTTTAGCTCCTAATACTGCTGTTCTTCAATATGATTATTTTCAAATATGAACTGTTAGTTGTTTTCACAGGTCATTATCTCTGGAATCAGAGAGTCACTCCAATACATCTAGAGATACAGGAAGCCTGTTGAAAGATGTAATGATCAACTGCTCTCCAGCCTCAAAGAGAACGGAAGGCTCTGAAGGGCAAATTGTTTGCTTTTGACTGTTCTTCATGAACAGAAGTGGACCTCACCTGAGTGACTTCACTAATTCAGAGAACTCACTAAAATCATTAGCAAACTACTTTTGCCAACAGTGCATATTGCAGTCACTTTATTTGAAAATATTTTGATATCAGTATCATATGATCCCTTTTAGAAGTAGTATATTGTTTTATGAGAACAACCTGCAGAGACCCAATGGCATGCAGAAGCTCATGGGGGTTGGATTTAATTACTGTACTTCAAAAGTTGACAGTTAATGGTGTCCATATCTCTGCTAAATCCATACTGTATAGACTACCATCACAGTCAAAGAAGGGAGAAGGTCTTTGTAGGACACAATAAATTTGGTCATAGATATTACAAGAGGTCAGATTATTGTGCCTTTCAAATAATTCTTTCCTCTAACTGTAAAGGACAAGTACGGCAGATATACCATGAACATCCAAACTGCAGAAGTCTGCATCTGGTGGACATGAATGTAAGTTTTCCATGAATTCCCTCCATTGATATTAGAAGCACATGTAACATACCTACACTCCAGTCCATTTCCTCCACTGCATCCCCATATAAACCATGCTTGCTCTTTCCTCTGAAATTTTCTGAAGCATATAGAGCAGTATGAACATGAAGATAAGACAGGACAAGAAGAAATGGTGCATCACTGTTCCTGGAAAAAACAAAAAACACAACAAAACAAACCCCCAAACTCTTAGTATATTTTATAATAAAATTTCGACAAAGAAATCTTTCTAAGGTAGAGCTCAAAAAACCCCCAAAAACAAAGGGAAGAAAAGGATTATTGTGTGAACACACACACAGAGTAAAAATGCCATACTTAACTGTATACTGAATTGAAAGATAATATAAATGACAAAATCTAATTACTGTTTGCTATTTTTTTAAGGACTTTTAAAGCCAGGAACCTAGCAGTTTCTGGCTACAAGCACGTCTCTTCATTTTAGAAGTACATATTTTAAAGCTCAAATAAAATTACTGTTCAAAAACATACCTTTAGAACTACATATATGTGTGAAACAGAATTATCTTCCTCACAAGGTCATATGGAAGCAGATACCTAGACTATTATGAGGACCATGGTCAAACATACCATTATATCACTATAGTAGTTTTCCTCCTTTATCCTGGACTACAGTATATGACTAAATCTTTTGTCATTTAATATTCTCTGTGTGTATGCATGTGATCAGTACATAACACCACAAGTAAGTTGTACCAAAGAATAAGTAATCTCAAAGCACATACTAATATAGTTTTCCCCTCATTAATGAACAGTCACTTTTGTCTTCAGTCTATTTCCTGAACTGATACAGAAGAAAGAGTGCAATAAATAGACTCTCTGTGTAAATTTTGCTGTTCATGTGATATGTCAACGTGATATTTATGATCAGTTCCAGCAGGCTGTGAAAGCACAGCTCAAGTAAGAACTTTTCCTTATGCATTATTTATAAAACTTTACTTAAAATTGTGCAGTACCAGCCAAATTTACTGCTATACGCTCTAAGAGCATTTGTAGTACATTATGCATATTGTAAATATCAGTTGAATCACAAGAGCACTACCCAGAAAACTTGTCTGGATCTCACCCTAAAGCACACAGCTAATTACAGAGTATTTTTAGGTTTATTTACCATATTTTCTCTCATCAATCTGTGGTGGATAATACCTATGATTCACATCAACATCAAAGGGAGACTACTTATTTCCTCATGCAGTTGCTTCATCCACCATTCAAAGAGAGGAGGAATGATACAGACATGCGTGTACAGATTCTTTAAAATGAAAAAAAAAAAAACAAACCTAACCTTTAGACCCTGCAAACAAAGTCTTGTAATAAAAGGGAATCATTTGATATCAATACTTTATTCTGAGGAAAAATAACTAGGTTTAATCTAGTATATTTATGATCCATTTTTCCTCTCTCCTTGGTTGGATCTATTTTTTACACAAGTTGCATGGTTAAAGCTTTCTTTTATACTGGCATACACAGCAGTACATAAACTGGGAAAATTTTATCCAGATGACTCACTTGTTTTTGTCTGGGACTTTTTCTTCATTTTTAAGTTTCTCCTTTTTTAAAAAAACAACAGAATAAATAGAACATTTCTGTGTGGAAAAATGGAAACTTTTTTTTTTTAATTACCTTCAAATATTTGTGTATGTATTCTGTATTATTTTAGTGGAGATTCAAAAAACAAAGAAAAGACAATATTTTTCATAAGGGATACACTGTCCATGAATCTGTGTTTGTTGCTATTTGAGAGGTCATACGTGTGAGAACCTTTCATTACTCTAGCAACAAATAACACAAGACTTCTGAGACAATTAAAAAAGTAAAAAAATATGTATACTTATAAAGTGCAATATTTAACATGTACATTAATGTAATTTTGACCTTTCATTAAAGAACATTTCTGCAAGGCAACTATTTTTGGTTTACAACTTGTTTTTTTACTGTATGAGATTATCTTTGACTTCTTCCTTAAACACATTTCACTGAATTGATAGTAATGTACAAATTCTAGGGTAATAAACCACAAAAATTTACTTAATATTCATAATGGCATAAGCACAATTTACTTTTCAAGCAAACTGCCCTGTTCTAATGTCACAGAGACAGTGCATACTTCTAAATGTATACCTGTACTGCTAAAAGCATCAACAGCCTCCAGTTATCAAGAGATAATAACTCAGGGGTTTGTGTTTTTTGTTGTTTTTTGTTTTGGTTTTTTTTTTTTGTGGTTGGGTTTTTTGTGTGTGTGTGTTTTGGCTTGTTTGGGGTTGGTTTTTTTTGTTTGTTTGTTTTGTTTTGTTTTTTTTTTTTAATGGAATTGACACAAAGATCTAACTTTCATGAAGAGTCATCGAATCAGTGATTGATGTGGAAGGACACTACATCAGTCTTTTCTTTGCAACTCCGATTGATGGGTTCTGATTGACAGTTTGCTGTCAGGTGAAGTGTCTCACCTATTAATATCCTGCAAAAGATCACAGGCAGCTATTTATCTCCTGCCAAAACTCTTTGAGGAGAATCATAACTGACTACCTTTACCATGACCTTGAAAATGGAATGACAATATCAGCTAGTAGGCAGGAGAGAAATTTGACAACAGCTTAACTCCTGAACCACTTCAGTAAACAGCTCCTTCAAAAATGTATTGCCACTATCTTTTACACAGTTCAAACACAAGGAACTTCAGTTTCAAAAGATCTGAGATTCACTTACTCAAATATAGTAAATTTTTCACACAGTCTTTTCAATTTACTGAGTAGTCAGACATTACACACATCTGACATGACATTCTTTAATGTGTGTTTAACTGATCTTGAAAACATCTAAAAGCATCACGTTGCTGCACTGCAAAGCTCTAGGTTCTTCTTTTTTAGAGTGAGGAGCATTACTCAAGGATTCAGTTCAGGCTTGAGCTGTAAAACACAGCTTTAAGGTGGGTGAGAGAGCAAGTTACAACTATCTGCCTTTGTGCTTCACACATGGGTCTTTTAACTTTTTTTTTTTTTTTTTTTTTTTTCCCCCCTCTAAATGCTTGTTACACTGAAAACATCTTGGGTAATTTTGTTTGCTTTTCTGTGCGTTGATGTCAATCTAAGACCACTGAAGCAGACCAACAAGTTAAGTTCTGAATTTGTTGGCCTGAACTTGTCAAATCAAACTGAGATTTCAGGTATGATACTGTACTGGAAATGAAATGGGAATACACCATGACAGGGATCCATTTTAATTTTTCATAATAAATTCTAAATTAAAATTTATTATGACGTACAGGTACGATCTTTTGAAATGACTTTTTTTTTTTTTTTTTTTTCCCCCTCCCTAGATGTGAAACTATCCTCAGATGTGAAACTATCCTCACATTCTGTCATAAAGTACATATTTTTAACACATTAGACCACTACATGGCTTATACCAGTGGAGGTACTACGATTCACAGCAGCTGAAACAAAAGCAGATATACTTGGCTTTGCCTGAACTGGACAAACATTGTGATGTGTTAAAATTGGGTTAACAATTGTTTCTGTAATCCCCAAAGTCTTACAAATTCCAAAAACCAAATAGCCTGCAAAGAACTATTTGAAAAAGACATAGAGATAAAATATATTACCTCTTATAAGGATAAATAGTTATAATTTACTAAGACTTATTGAATGTGTATGAATAGGCAATTTTCACATAGTGACAGTACACCAGAGACACAGTTAAAATGAAAGAAAACAAAAATTCTTAAGTATATAATCTGAAGATACATTTTCAGCACAAATATGTAACAATGTTACACAGGCAGATACAAACCTAACTTTGCCTTCCCTGTAACTCTCCCTTTCCTAAAAACACTTACACAATATCCCCAGCAATGGATAAATTGATTCAGTGTTTATTTCCCATGGATCCCTCTTCTACTTCCAGATCAGGTCAACAATTAGACAGTACTCTTTGTGACAGGACAGTGGCTGAATGCACTTCATTAATCCTTCTCATTCCTCCAGAAGGAAAAGGTAAACTTTGGCTTAGTTGTATCAAAGAAGGACTTTGTCCTACAAGCTGGATTTTCTTTTGTTCTGACCTCTAACAGTGCTAAAATGCTTGTTAGAATTAATGAATCCATGAATAAGCATTTCTGTCTTACTCATTTAAAAGACATACCTTAAAACACAGATCTCATATTCTCAAAATTTTTCAAAATCAGAAAAGAACTCTAGACCACTTGGGGGTAACGTATCAAAATCAGAAAGGTGTTGAAAATGGCATGAGAAAGGGGGAAAAAAAAAAATATCTGCCTCTATCTAGAAGATATTAAAAATAGGATGTATTACTACTATAACTGCATTTGTGAAATGATTCTTCCATGCAAATACACAAGATACTTTGGACATCTCTATTTCATGTCTATTTCTTCCTTTAAATGCTTAAGGTACACAGTTCATATATGTTTTTACTTCCTTTCTATATAATCTTTTTTCTCCCTTTCAAAAAGTACATTCTTGTAAGCATGGGGAAAGAAAATAAATTTCTCATCTACTACAAATTATATTCATTACCAAATCCCTTTCCTCCACAAAACTTTGGAGCCCACTATACAAATCTACTGCTTTTTAGAAGTGTTCCATTTACAGTGCAGGCTGTCACTCATTGTTGAACTAGTTAGGTGCTTAATCATTCCTAAATTACTTAAATCTTTAATTTTCAAATGGTTGTTAAGTATATGAATACACAGCTGTTTCCTGTTAGCTTTTTGTTCAAAAGGAATAAGCAGAGGTCTGAGAAAAAGGGATGAAGATCCAGTGGAGTTGTTACGGTCTATAAGTTACTACCCTTTTTTAATGTATATCCACATATACATCATGTGTGTACAAAGATGCACAAATTCTTCTCTATAATTTGTATTTTGCTGTAAACTATAAGGAATATTCTTGTAGGATACATAAACCAACCTGATTTCAGAACTCTAACTCCAGTACATGAGAACTGCCTGATCTTCAGACCTAATGGGGAACCCTAAACTACAGTCTGCTGAAGTAGATGAAAAAAAATCTGAATATGTGTTGTGTTTCATGGACTGAAATAGAATAGATGGTTATGGTTATGCAATCTATGACAAAAAAATAACATTAAAATTGTTTAACTTTATGTTCACCAGATCTGCTGAATATAAATGTTTATATGCAAATAGTGTTTTCCAGAAGTTAGATTTCATTAGGATTTTTTACAAACATTGTTATTAACTGTGATCAGCTATATGAATTTTTCAGAGAGGTACTCTTTATCATAGTGTGGTACTTCTTCTTGTTAATTCTGATACAATAGAAATTGGTCTCTGGCATTTTCCAAATTTGGATTGTCTGTGCAGCTGGTCATTAAAGAACATGCTGAAGATGTATGAGTGACAACCTCACTGAACTTAACATGAAATAATTAGCATCTATTTGACTTTCAAATACGCTGTAATGTCTACAGTGTTCTGATAGGCTTACAATATGTACACACACTTGCTCTTGGGAAAAAGTAATTAGAATTACCATACAATGAGCTGACCTGCCCACCTACAATTAGGGTGAAGAACTAAATTAGTAGTATTTGCTTTCACACGTTGCATCTGATGCTTGTAATTGTATATATTCTTCTCCAGTGCCATTTCTGAGCTTTGAATCTTGTACTTGCTAGTCTACCTAGGAACAAATGAAAACTGTATAATAATATATATATATATATATATATATATATATATACACACACACTAGACTAAGGAAGAACAAATACAATACATCTCTCCAAAAAACATACCAAAGTATAACAGCACATAGCTATATGCTATGAAGAAATTATCAGACGTGGTAAGAAGTCATAAAGCTCGCAATATGGCTCAAAAATAGCTAGAAAAGAGAATAATGTCAGAAAGTCCATCCCCTAAACACTGAAGAACTTATAAATGTAATATAGGTACTAGGTATAATAAACTTACATAGAGAAAACATTTATGTTGTAACTGTTACATAACTATGTATATATTAATATATATTATATATAAATATAGCATTAAAGGGCTATATAGGAAGTACCAGTGCTGTTGAAGATTGGAACTCCATCATATATTTAATTGTAAAGATAATTAACCAATTAAAACATGCATGATAGTTGATGAATTTTAGTTTGATGATAAAATGTATGTTAAGAACCAGTTAAGGTGTATTACTCTGAATTCTTTCAATTCAGGATTGTTTGAACTCTGGTATGCTTGAGCACAAGGATTACTGGTGTACAGGACTGAGCTTGCTACTGACTGTGTTATCTAAATAAAATAAGCCTGCATGACACATCAAGTGTTGAGCCTAATGTGTGGCTAAAGGAGGGTTGAGGGAGACTGCCCCCTGAAAGAAGCGAAATGACAGGAATGCTGTTGAGCATCCATAGCTTCCAAAAACCTGATGGCTCTTCACTTTTGACTGCCAGATGTCTGACTGCTGATGCAACCTGGCTAGCTCTTGATGGCTATTCCCCTACAAACAGCCAAAGTCAGTAGACTAGTCATAAAAACAATGGTCTGCTGATGGACTGGAGTTGACAGGTATGAAATATATAATGTCAGAAACAGTGTGTCAAAGCAAATATTGATTTTGCTGCTCTCACTAACATATGGACCAGACCAGCTCAGTGATTATTAATGTAATTAATCCTATCCCCAGGAGCAAGTTTTATGGTCATATAGTTTGTATGTGAATTCACTACAGGGCACAGTTAGGATTGCTCGAATGCCCTAATTGCTTCTCAATATCTTAACAAGTTTGGATGTTCTTTAATTCAACATTGATTCTGAATTGTCTGGGTTATAATTATCATTATAGCTTTCCTGTAACAAAGTTTATTGTAAATTACAAATATGTGCTATTAACCTTGACTTCAATTTAATATCACTTTTGTCTGGAAACTACATTGAGAAGTGGGGCCAAGTACCCAGCTGATGTAAAGTCACTTACCTCCAGCTGAGTCAACAAAGCTATGCTGATTTAGATGATAGATGCTGGCTCTAAACACTGACTAAGCTATACAATAACACTGTGCATATTATGAATATTAATAAAGTTAAATTTTCTAGCATTGATTTCCAGTCTTGAACTCACTCACCTGTTTTGGGGCTACCATTTTATTGTCACTGCATTGACATCACTGAGATTTCAGAGATCCAAGACATTATGAATCACTACAGGCACATTACATTAATCTGCCAGCAGTCTTCTAAAATCACCAAATACCTGGTCACTAAGCAAGTAACCTCTCAATTTTCAAAGCGGGGGTGTGTGTGTGTGTGTGTATGTGTGTGTGTGTTTGTAATAAACAAAGTACTTCACTGATAAATTAGCTAAATGTAGATGAGTAGGTATCTTTAACATCATTGACAAGACAAAATAAAGATGTTCTAGTTTATTTATAAATACTTAAGAGAATGTTGACTGCTGGGAAAACTTACTTAAATGAATTTTTTTTGGCATGATGAGGAGAGATGGCCACATCAAATATTTATAATGATAGAAATGATAGAAAAATTGCAGTATGAGATCAAGATTTTAGATAAATATTTTTTCTTGATAACAGTCTTGATGACTACTGCATGCAGTCATTAAGTAGAAAATTTAACCTCTGATTCTTTGGTATAAGTTTTCATTCAGCAATGATATCATGTGAATGTATTCACAGTAACAACCTGGTACATACTTTTTAGAAGAGTAATTAAGAGACTTCTTATGTCTTAGAACTATGTTTTTACTTTTGTTTAACCTTTCTAGAAATGGTGCAACCTGTTCCAAAATTGACTGAGAAAAATACTCTGGCATATTTTTCAAGACGTGAAAAGGTTAAAATTTTTTGCTTCAAATATATCTATTTCTTTTTCTTTTTCAGAATATACAAATGTATACTTGTATGATTCGATCCCATTAAAAGCCCTATGCTAACAATTACACCAAAGTAGCTAAATTTACAAAAATGAAGAATGACTTAGGATGATTTTGTATATCCAATATTTAGGTGACCCAATGTGATGGTTATTAAAAAATCATTGCTTTCAGAAAAAAAAAAAAATCCTAACTTCTATAAATCAAATATTTTCAAAATGAGTCTGGCATAAAAGTGGAGGCATCTAAAATGACAGCATATTAAATAATTGGCCTTTTGAATACCACTTAATGGATGCATCAAACCAATGATGAATTGCAGTTTCCCATTCCAGAAAAGTCATGGATTATGAATCTGTATTGTGCTTTCACATAATTAAGTCACACCACAAAAGATTTTTCATATTTCAAATTACATGAAACTCTCAAGAATGAAAATCCTAAAAGTTAGATGTTTTTTGACAAATTTTTATGAAACATGTAAACATAAATAGTTTTTAATTTTATAGAGAAAAAAGTAACATAGCTGATAGAAAAATACAGTCACTTTCACTAGAACAATTAACTTCAGTAATCTTTTAAATGAAAAAAAATGATGATGATAAATAATGACATATTCCTTATGCCCACCAGTTCACATTTCTTTCCCACTTTTTCAGAAGCATTGTCATTGTGAAATGCCAGCATTCACTTATAACATAGTTAGAAACCCACCTTCCTATGAACTGCACAGCTTCCTTTGTCAGTCTCTGAGTCAGGTTCTCATAGGACAGTGGTTGCTGGATAATCTGATGGTCCCTCATTAAGAAGCAATTCAAGTGTCGAAAATGATAAAAGAAAAAAATCAAGACCGCAAGTGAAATAGCGGTTATTATCATGCAGTAACCCAATGCTTGGAAAGGTACTTTGAGGAGGCCAATGTATTGCACAATTGCCAAAGAGACCAGGGTGATTCCAGCAATTTGGATTGGGATGACAAGAGTTTTCTGAACCCCTTTTAAAAATACGCTGCCTTGGCCAGGTTTGCAGTCTCTAAAATTGGTCACGGTAAGCCCGTAAAAGTAATCAAATCCATGACTGAGTGGGTGGTGACAGAAGTCATTACTGCTTTCACAGTTCATCCCAAGATGCCACTTTCCTACAAAGAGAGAAGGACAAGAAGCATCTCTGAAGTTAAATCATCAAACTTATAATGTGCACTATTCCAAACATGAAACTGTCACTATCTGATTGACATCCTCCTGTTCCCAGCATTTATTGTGTGGATCCCTATTTTCTATCTAATCTTTCTTTATGCCTTCATCAAAGACTTTGTTTCATGTCTGCCTCTTTGTTTTAGTTAGAAATAGTTTGGCACAGCTCCTAATGGAGACCATTAAATTCTGAGTGGGCTAGAGGGTCACTGAAGAGCAACAGAGCCCTAACAGGTAGTTAACTTTGAAAATGAAGACTTTGTGCATGTGTAGTTAAGTAGTCATAAGAAAATGTCATTTTGTAGCAGCTACTATTTTCCTAGGAAGAACCAATATGGAGATACAAAATATTTTTTCTGAAATTTTTCTGGAAAATCATTCACATTTGACAAGCTAAAAAAAAAGAAAAAACAAACAAACAAACAAAAAACCCCAGTAACAAACAGGAAATAATCAAGAATAGTGAAAATACCAAGGCATTTATTATTTAAATGATTTCATGATCTCTGAAATCACCAGTCTCCCTCACTATATACATGTACATGTAGTGAGGGAGATTATTTTGTATTTATATATATTTTTTAATTTTATATATATATATATATATAAATAAACAACAGTGACAAGTAAATTACCACCAAATACTATCTCTCACAGCATATTGTCTCACTAGGAAATCACTCTAATTCTCAGTGATGATGGACACTGATTGACACAAGAAAACAGTGAGTCTAATTTGCATTACACTAGCATAATCTATGTTCATGCTGATTACAGTATCTAGATAATCCATTCTCTGACTTAGGTGCAACCCCCTATGATATGCTTATGCACCACTTAGTGTAAGAGAGCTAACTATTTGGTAGCTGCTTTTTAAATTCAAATGCATAATTTTAAAAAAAAAAAATTCAAATTCACTTAAGCCTATTGACATAATTTATGGTTGGTCTCAGCAAGGAAATGTGTTAGGTATTTCTCAAAACATGTCACCCTTGACAAAACAGGTGACAATATATATTGCTGAGCCAAATTTTATGTATTTTTTCTGAGTCAAACTCCTAAATGTCACCAGCATAATTCAGGGGTTGTGATCTTAAAAGAAATAAACAAAATACCCGCAAACCCAGTAAGTCCTCAACCCCATAACTTAGCCCAAAGAAATCTGAAATATTTTGGTCTGAGGGCTTCAGGATACACATGATACAAAGCACATGAAAGGAAAAAAGGCATATATAGACTCTTCCCCCTTCCCAACCATCCCAGCTTTTACACATCTGTAAAAAAGAGTCCTGAAGCAGGCAGTCCTGAGCATCTCCTGGGTCTAGAGCAGCATATTCATCCTACATTTCTGCCTCTGGAAATGACAAATGTGGGTAGTGCAGTACTAAAGAGGGTGAAGATGGTGGTCAGTTCTGATTATTTTAAATAGTACCTAGCAATTGGGCTCGATGTCATAACTTCTCTTTCACAAATGACAGAACTAAGGTATGTGATGAGAAGTCGTGTGCCTAAGTTTATCCATCAGCAAAGCTGGAGAAAAAAAGCATAAAAATCTTGAGTCTAACTAAATACTTAGTTGAATCTAGGTCTCCTCGTTAATCTCTTGATGGTCTTAGGTTAGAAATACCTTCCACATACCACAGAATCAGGTATAAAAGCATTTTCAGGTCTTCTTACATGCCAGTGAAATGGCGGCCTCTACAGCTTTCTCATTCCATAGGAACTTTTCCCACTTACTGTCAGATGGCGCCTCACCTGAGGCGGTGTTCTGCTTTCTGTGGGCAGAATGGCTCCTGTCATTACTTTTGACATGGTCCAGTGAATGTTATTGTGGCTGATTACAAAATCAGCAATGTAGATCACTGTACTGAATTTTTAGATGTCATACCGGTGCCATAAAGGGCTAGCTAAGACTGTAACTCTAAATTTCATACCCAGCAAGAAAAGACGCAGACTCTGGAAAATAAATGCTTCAGTGTTTTCTCTTAGATTTACATGACTGTCTTTATGGAATAATCATAAAGCCAGATGTGTATCAAGGTAAGCATGAAACAACTCCCATCAAGTTACATAACTGAAATAAAGGTATAGGCTTATAATCACAAATATAAATAATCTTAAAGCTTTCATTTTTAATTTTTTGCTGTTAGTTGTCAATTTCAAAGCAGCTATAATTCTGGAAAAAAAAAAAAACGAAAAAAAAAACCAAAAAAACACTCAAAATTAAATATACTTTATTATGATATAAAGACATTTGTTTAAACTGCATATCAATAAAACTAGACATTGCAAGCCAGGACAGAGAATCTTGCAGCAACAAATTAGGACAGGGGGAAATATAGAACCTATTTTTATTGAAAGGGTTATAGCAAGCACAACAAATTTTTCAATGTCAGGATGAACTTGGGCCTCAAAAAAAGATTTGTTCAGAAGCAACTTAAGCCAAACAAAGTAGACAGCAGGTTTAGCTGGGAAAAGTAACAGAAGCACTGGTTCAAATTATATCGGCAGCTGTGACGGAAAGCCACAATTGCCATTCTCAAATGGCTGACAAGATAGAGGGTTTTGATACCCTGTGCTACTCTTAAAAAAGCAAGTGATGATTGGGTCTACAACACATTTTGTTTCATTCCTTGTGACAATAACCCCTGCCTTAAGCTAGCGTTTCAACAGATTATTGTAATGTGCTTTACACTCTGGGGCCCTTCTGAATCTGAGAGCACTGCAAAATGCTCTCACCTCTTTGCCAAGAAAAGCTTCATAGCATGGACACTTCTCACAAGAATCATATGTATTTCAGCAGATGCTACCAAGATTTTCAGTGAAATTTATGCTGATAATTGTAAATTATGAGTACATTAATAGTTTGAGACCTAGGCTTTTTTCCCCTCTCCTTTGGCCACAATTAAGATTTCTGCAGAGCAAAAGCAACGCAAAGAAAGGCAAGTGGAAATGAGAGGCAAGTCCTATTCAGCCAAGAAACTTCATTTGAAACTCAGATTTTCAGAATCCAGAATGCTGAAAAAGCAGCAAAAAATCACATTTTCTCTCTACTTTTCCCTCACACAGTTGAAAAGGGAGTAATCTGAAGACTGAGTTGTATTTAATTATATATTTCTTTTAGTATGATTTTGTGCCCTTCACATAAACAAGAAGATGCAAGATGCAGAGCAAGAGGCAAACAGAAATATTTTATGTGCTCAAATAAATATATTTATATGAAGTTCATAGCAATAATAATATAAAGTATATATGCTTATATTATTAACATGGTCAGATTTTAAGCCATTCTATTAATAAGTGTTCTATTAATCCTACTCCATAGACTCAACCAATCTTGTATTGGACACACCACTACTGTGATGTGTCCAAATATTACAACACCTCATTCTGGTGGAAAGATACAAGTCCCACTTTATCCATTAATATTTTAAACTTTAGAGATAAGCTACAGAGGTGGATTTTAAACTTCTTGTGATGTTACACAACACACTGGATAAGAGTAGTAAGGAAAAGATGACCTGTACTCAACTATAATTGAGTATAGCAGTAGTTAAAATAACCCCAATCTACTTTGAGTGGAATATTTGCATTATGAATAGCTATTTCCTACAAAACATCAACATTTCTTGCTACGCTTCAGGATCCTTAACTGATGAAATATTACATATTCAATGCATCTGCCTTTATTGAGAAAATTTGGTTTTGTTGCGGATCTTCTGACTGTGTCTCCTCCTGCCAAATCTATTGGATGTCACCTTCTTTGTGTCACAGGGAAAAAATGATGAGGTAAAAAAGTGTATACATAAAGTAGATTTATAGCTAAAATATATTTAGGGATGTATCAAGCAAGAGGAAGCATATATTCAGAGGAGGGAATAAAATTTTAAAAGAAAGGAAAATGCATTTAAGGAAGAAAAAAATGTCCTCAGAGAGTAAAGGGGAGAGAAACTTGGCAAAAAATAAAAGAAGTGACAGTACAGGCTTGAGGAACTGAAAGGCTTCAAATTACCCTTATGCCAATCCATCACTGGTGCAGGATTTGACAATTAATTGTTTGGGAACGGCTGAGTTAGATTAAACCAAGCAAAGACTCCCTGACCTAGACCAATATGATGTGATAAGAATACCAGCAGAGGCAGAAAATGGGCTGGTTGGGAATCAGAGTCTGCCTATCTAGTCTTCGAATCTACGTAATTTTTCTTTTTGTCATTTACATATGCTTTATCCTTAATGCACTTCTTGATTTTTGGAAGCCTTTATTATACTCTAAGGATATGGTAAAATTACATCTTGTGGTTTCATAGCTATCATTCAGGCCACTTGGAAGAATTGTTCATTAAGCATCATGGAGATAACTTCTGGAGATCTAAGTGGCAAGCTGTCATGTTGCAGTGAAAGTAGTTAAAAAAAGAACATTAACTAGGTCAGTCCTAGAAAATTACTTGTATTCCAGTGCTTGTTGCAACAGAAAAAAGTATTTTTTTGCAGTCTTTAACTGAATATAAAGCAATAGGAATTAACTCCACCATGAACATGACAAATTATGAATGGCTTTTTTGCACTGTGGTTCAAATACATCTGCACTAAATATACTTCTGCTAATATTTTCTCGTTTTCTGGTTTGAATCTGTCAGGACATCAAGGTACTTTACACTTTCTAAGACTGGGGTATAGCTAAGTAGGATTTTTAGTTAGAAACATCGACACTGGTTAGCTCTATGTATATAATACAGATTTCTTTTAACAGTGGTGCGAATTGTTAGGCTTGCTAAACAGACTGGGTTTTTTTTAAACAAAAAGTACTCCCAAAGTTGAAAGCTTTCGTTACATTTAAAAATCAAATTGGGTGCATCCATCATCTAAATTAACGTAGTAACATTCCAGTATGATGTTCTCCAAACAACTATTTCCTGGCAACTCCAGTACAGAATACATTATGTAATACAAGCTGTATTTCAAAAAAATCTTCTAAAATGTAAGCAGTGTTGAATAAGTTAGTGGCCAAATGAGGGGGAAAAAATCACATTATTTAAATGTTATACCTTTATGATATTAATTCCAATTCTGTTTAATATTCATCTAGTGGGATTCCTTTTACCTATCACTGGATATTTATAATGCAGTTAGTTGTCTGAAATATCTTTATAATTTTTATATTAACATTTTTATATTAAACATCTATCACAGGATGAGACAAATTTCCTAAAAATGCCCATTTCTGTCTGATTATTAAAAAGAGAATCCAGATGGTTAGCCCAGATACTACATTACCTACTTTATGGATATTTGAAAACTGGTTAAATTAATCCCAACACTGTGCTGACTTGTACTCTGCAATCGATCCCTTGTTGTCTCTCTGTTGTAATCAAATTCCTATTTATACTGAAAACTTTTAAAGAGCTTGACTAATTTTTAATTTGTTCATCATGTTTCTTCAGTACCTTGCACGATGAGACTATAACTACACAAGTGAATTAGACATACTTACCTGATTAGTGTTTCACACAGGCATGGGAATGTGCTCAGCTTTGTGCCAGAAAAATACTCATTATGCTGTGGGGAAAAAAACTGAATGCAGACTCTTAATAGCCTATATGGAAAGCTAACATTCTTTTGATGAAATGAATGAAAAATAATGTTGTGCATGTATGCAATTTTACCTATTAGAGCTGTTGCGTAACCTCTCTGCTTCAGGAGTTTGGAAAAAGTTACTTCTTCAGAAGGAAGTCCTCCCGAAGAGGCAGAAAATAAGAAGACACCAACTCGTGAGAAAGCAGCCATTCCTAAATACAATGAAAATGAATGAGATGTGGATAATATAGTAAAACAATTTCCATTCATTCTTTCTGCATGTACTTTTTTGTTTTAGGTGGTATCACTTATATGATATATTACCACCAGACATTAAATGTTGTGAGTGGCAGATAAAATAATCCATTTAGCTAAGTGAGGTCTTTTCTGGATTGACACCAGCAATTGAGAAGTGGAGAAAATATTCTCTGCTTATAACCATGGGGCCAGCCATCACATAAACAGCTACAGCCCCTTCTGTAGATGTTCTAAGGTATAACATATCTGAAAGAAGTTGAGCTTGCATAATTTATTTCTCTTGTACATGGTGAAGGAATGTAGCTGAGAACTAAGCAAAATCACTCCCAAGTTCTACTCTCAGAACTTTCACTTTTTTCATACATGGTTTTCTACAAGCCTTTAAGGTTATTAGAGAGAAGGCAGTTGAAACAGGGCAGTCTTACAGCTGGGCACGTAAATATCATGAGGTCAAAAAAGAGTAAGAGAGAGTCTGATTCTGGAAAAAGAGTGGCTAGGGCACTCAGCTTTGATGGGAGAGGACCAGTGTTTCAATGGCATGAAGATACATGATTCAATGCACACAGAGTGCATTAATGTAGCATCAAGTATCAGCTAACAAGACAGCATCTAAATAAGGCATATAATCTCTATATACTGAGAGTCTGAGGAACACAAACTTGAGTTTATAAACTACTCTCAGGATGAGAAACTTGAGAGCTCAGGTTCATGAAAATTAGATTACTAGGATTCCAAATGAGAGCTGGCTCTGAGTATAGACAGACAGAACACAGAATATCTATGCAAATCTGTGCAGATCTATCTCCAGGATGTCTGAATTATGCAAGAGGATGATTGCAGTGTGAAAGTTACGTGACTGATGTAGACAACCAGAATCTTCCCTCAGGTATCCCTTGTGGTTAGATGTGAAAAAGACTCGTCAGACTGGTTTATTAAAGAGAGCTCAACCTACCCTTCAAATGTTGACTTCAGTTTTTCAGTCAAGCTAGATTTATGTTCAACAGTTTAGGTAGTTTTAGTCATCTATACATAATCTATATTTATTATATATTTATTTATATTTATTTTTAGGTACTTCAATCTCTTGTAACTGAAATCATTGTAATTCTCTTAAGTTACCAGAATGAAAATACAGAACCATGATTTTTATTTTTTTTCATCATCACCTTTACTCTGAGTTTCTGTCTCATCAAATACTGCCTTTTGGAATATCTTTCTTCAGCCCTACTAGCAGGAGTTTTAAATTTCTAACATTTTTCTTCACATCACGATCTTAGTATCTTCTATAATAAACATTTACTAGTTCTTCACTGATGTTTGGAAGTAGTCCATATTTAGCAATTTTGTAATTTAATTAAGACAAAGTTCAATTTTTGCACCTACACAGAAATGATTAGGTATGACTGAGAGCAGATCAGTTAGAAAAAAAATCAGTACAAATGCTAATTTTTCAGAAAAAGGAGCATAATGGAAAGTGACCTGTGGCTTTACCTACAGTAAATATTAATAGCAATATATCTGTAACAGGTATATAAAATTTTTCTTTGCAGCTGAATGTAATGGAAAATTTAGCAAGTTATATTAGCTGGCACTTTTGCAAAAGCTTATTACTTGATTTGAATGAGCACGAACCTATCAAGTAGGCTCTAGAGTCTTGCTTTGCTTTCATTCCCAGAAGCAAGGACAGGATGTTTTATCACTAATGAACAAGTGATCTGATTAATGTATAATGATCCTTGCTAAAAATGATGTTAAGGGAATGTTAAAGTTGCACGGCTAAGCACTGATGGGTTCAGTCCCAGCACACTAAAATAAACAGACTGGATCTTTACTGACTCAAATGGGCTTTGGATCAGGTGCTTTAAAAGTAAGAGAAGTTCTTAAATGCATGTATTTATAGGGTACTTAGCACTGTGTATGGGTAGATATTGAACAAAAATACTTAAAAAGAAGGGACACTTTTTGCTTTTTTTTAAGGGCTGCTGAAATACCTTAATGATCTGCCCTTCCTGCCCCCCTTGCCCCTAAAAAAAACCCAACAACCCAACCCCAAAAAAACCCCAAAACACCAAACCCTCACAATGATTTGTCTAAAACAAAAGCTTTTATAGAAACCGTAATGTCTGAGCAGAAAGATTTACACTGGATTCTTCCATTGTGTCTTTCTAGATGCATCTCTGTGATGTTCAACACTCAGACTGCCCGTCAACATCCTGAGAGCCTGAATGCAACTGGGAAGGGAGGCAAAGAGCATAGGGTCATATGGACAGTGGAGGAAGTTGATGGAATATGTCTGCTCCTAACGTTAAATAACCACAATCAGAATTTTTTTTCCCTCATTATTTAAAGAAAAATCTTTTTCTCAAAAAAAAGTTTTATTTTTGTGTTAACTTCTGAAATGTGAAAACTTCCCATATATATGTCAGATTTCCAACGCTGAGCTTGATTAGTCACTGAAATGAGTACCTAACCCAGTAATGATAAAGATATCAAGAAAGGCCAGAGAAAAAAATTGCATAGTTTACTGCAAATACAATATTATATTTATATATAAATAAAATAATGATTTTTTACCTGATCTGATAGGATATCGCCCTGTCAGGAAAGCTGCCCTGCTTGGAGTACAAAGTGGGGATGCTGCTATATGCTGAGTAAGTGTCACTCCTTCTTCTGCTAGCTTGTCAATATTAGGGGTTCTAGAAAGACATAAGCAGTGAAAAAGAAAGAAAAAACAAAAAACCCATAAAGATGATTATTTGGAAATGGGCATGGTGAGATCAAGGCATCCAAGACAAAAATTAATGTGAAAATCAGTTAAGACTTACTGCATGCAAATTATCAAAACCATGCTGGTGTTGCAATTCTAAATACTATTAAGTCAAATATTTTCACACGAGGTGTCAACACTGGAGACACTGTGGCATTGTGCCAAAAATCTTTTTCCCCACCTTCACCTCCTCTTCATGGCCAGTACAACCCTTTTTAATGCATTTCTTGACCCAGAACTGTAACTTTGCTAATTACATGGCCTTCCTGCTTCAGCAGTGGGGAGAGCAGAGATGGGAGAAAGGTTGTGCTTCTTTACTCCCTACTTGGTGTCACTTCTGTCTTTCCCCAGCAGAAGTTGTTTAGGTTAGGGGTAATGTGTGGTGTTTATGGCTGTCTTAGGCTCTATAGTAACAATGTTTACATTTCTGATATGACTATGTCTGCAATATTAGACGCAGGAGGACATCCAAGTTTCCATATCAGTATGGGAAACTTGTCTGTGATCTGGCTCATCATGCAGATGAAAACTGGTTCCTGCAGGAAGAAATCCTGTGCCATTGGTTCTACAGAAAAAAAACCTAGGCATGCAGACTGGCCAGGAGCTGCAGCTTGCTCTAATAGGTCCCTGCCCTGGGAGATTAATGACCATGACCTCAAGGCACACTAGTGCTCCTACCATCTAAACCTGAATAGTCAGAATCATTAGTTTTCTGTCAGACTTCTTTGCTATCTATAACATCAAAAGAGAGAGAACATAGATCTTGGAGCAGTTCTTGTCCTTGTGAGGGGAGTGATCCAAGCACTGGTGTTGTATGTACTTTTTTTCCTGTTTAAAACTAGAAGTTGTAAATTGAGGTTTTTTGAGTTTGAGTTACATCAAGTTTTTACTTCTAACTAACTTCAGCAGGAACAGCAGTATTTAAGATTTTTCAGGATGGTACTTTTAGTCTGAAGCTTTTATTTAACTTGGTCAAAGATTTTGCACCACTGAAACACAATGACTAGGTACAACTTGCACTGTTTATGCAATCGTCATACCTAAACTGGTAGTAAGGATCATACTGGAGAACACTGCTGTATTTCTCAGGTATTTTAACATTTGTTTTAATGAAGTTATTGACTACAGCATGAGGATAAATGAAAGAAAAAATCATCACTTTATTTCCAATTGTTTAGTGGCAAGCTTGTCTCAAATCACAAGTGTTTCAAGATACGCTTAATTTATAGCATTTGCGTCATGTATATTTTAAAAGAAAGTTCTTGATTATACTTTGCTTCTCTAGACCTACCCTTATTTGGTTGGTTGCTCAATTCTCTGTTTTGCAACTTTTCAGCAGGATAAATACATCAAAGTCTTCTTATTAGGAAAAGAAAACAAAGATTGAATATTCTGTTCTCTGGAAAGTTTACTAACTTTGGTTACTTATAAAGAACCTAAACAAATCTCTGAATGTTTTAGAGCTTTTAATTTTAAAAATCCATATAAAAATTAAATATAAAGCTATGACTCCCCAAAAATGTCTCATGATACCTTAAGGTTCTGTTCCCGTAACATCCCAGGTCTCCAATACCAAGATCGTCAGCCATCAGTAAAATGACATTCGGATTTGAAGCACTGTGCGTTTTGACACTGTGTATGGCACGCTGGCAAATTATTAGAAATACAAGGAGTTTCATCTTCTTCCTGGTGTGTAAGAACAGACTGAAAACATAAGAGGTAGACTTTAAAAAATTTGACTGCTAATCTAAATTAGTCATATTATTGCCCTAGATTGTATAGTAGAAGAGAAAAAGAAAATTATATTGTGTATTTTTATTTGGCTTTTTTTTCTTAAGATTTTTTTAACATTATTTTCTCTCTGTTATTTCTTAAAAGTAAAAATGCATCTTTTAGTATATACCAAATTTTTCCTTTTATTCCTTTACACAGATGAAACCTTTAAATAACAATGAATAAAGAACGAGTTTCAACCTCAGTGACAACACCTTTGCGTACTTTACAGCAATAAATCATGAGAGCAAATAAAGCTTTTTATTTTTCAAGTATAAATTTAATTTCAGGAACACAGAAACTAAAATCATTTAGGACCAAAATTTCCATTTCCAAGGTTCACTGCAGAAAAATAATTAATCAATTCTGCTACTGAACTAAATTAATTTCTCTTCAACAAGTGAAAAAAAATTCCAGTTCAAGTTTCTTGACAGGAATAAGTATTATGGAAAGGGGGGTGAAGAAATGCATTATCAAATTATTGCAAGGAGTGTTTAAGAAAAAGCTCTTCACAAACATTTTAAATACCAGGGCTTATATCAAATTATGTGAAAATATTTGTATTGTAGCACAGTGTTATATAAACGATGCTCATGCTATATCCAATTTAAAACAGGAAGAATAATGTATTGTACACAATACTACATACCATTATACACTTGTATGATAAAAGCACAGTCTATTTGCAGATGTGCATGCTACAAATAGGTTATTCTACCTCAACAGGGATTGTAATATCTCTGTTTTAAAGTGCATCGACTATGCCCTGGCTGAAATTAAGTTCCTCTAGGCTGTGATGGACTGTGCTAGGTATACACATTAAAAAAGATCAGAGACTCTCTTTTTTGCTCCTAGTAATGCCCCCATCTCTTCTGGATGCAGGCAGCCTTTTTAAAATGTAGATGAGATACGAGTTACACCGGCACTCTGGATTATGCTGGGACAAAAAAAGGAAAGCAGAGGAAATCAAGACCAAGGTAGAAATTTGAAAGTAAAAGACTAGGAAACAATAATTTCCAGAGAGGATGGGGACAGAAGGTCAGGAAAGAAAAAACTTGTAAATCAGTGAGATATGGTAGATAAAAGTAACCGGAGGGAATATAAAAAAGCCAGAAATGGAAGAGCTGGTACAAAGAAACTAGACATCAAGGGATTTATAAATCAGTGAGGTGTGGTGGGTAAAAGTATCTGTAGAGCAGATGAAGTAGTCAGAACTAGAAGACCTTGCACTGACTTGAATAAAGAGCGAGAAGGTTAGCTTGAGACCCAGATGGGATGAGAACTGCAGATTGAAATGAGGAGAACTGGTAGACGGTTTAAGAAACTGGAAGTTTGACAGTGGATAGGAAAATAAATTGAGAAACAGCTGAGAGAATTGGGAGTGTCTGGGATGAAAGACTTGAGGAGTTATGATTAAGGCAGATGAAGAGAACTGACTGGAAAGAACCTGGGCAGATAAGACTTGGGACTGACACAAGTGAGAAGAGATCAAAACTGTGAGATCAACCAACACAGAATGGCACTTCTGATTCCCAACTTTCATTATTGTAATTTTCTCATAAAGTATAGGTGCAAAGAGGATTTTAACTTTTTAGTGCTTTAGTTCACATACAGATAAAACACCAATAATATATTAGCTGATTTTTACTGCTTAATGCACACTATATTGACCTCACTTTCCTGACAACAATTCTGGTTTAGACTTCAGCCAGCAACATCTCAAGATTCCAGCCTTATCACTGTGGCAACAGACTGTTACCTGGTTTACTCTATGGCAAGCAACATACTTTGTTTCAGACATGGAAAATACATATGCAACTTTAAGACTGAAACACTAAACCCAGTTCTGCGTGGCAGGATGCATCTAACCAGCCCTTCATCAAATCACCATACTAATGAAGCTGTGTAGCACCTGTCACAGTGCAGACTTTTAATCTATACAGTAGATTTTACCTTTCTTCCCTGAGAGGATAAACAAGCATGAATTGCTTTCCACACATTGCAAGAGAACAACTCACGTGCTGACCTCATAGGATAGGAACAACCGACTGCCGCATCTTATGTTTCTATTCCACTGTTCTGACTGTGAGGGTCTCAAGGCCCTCAAGGCCCCAAGTTTAACAGGGATGTTGAAAAGGGTGACATATATGTTGGTGACATTATATAGAGTTGCATGAATGCTTGCAGGACCATTTCAAGGATTTACTGGCCACCCTCAGTTTCGCTGTGGGCTTCACATTGTCTGAATAAAAGCTAGAAATACATACTCCTGCCACTAATTAAAAACATCATTTTTAAAGTTAGCTGGTTTTGCAACTTTTACAAACAGCAATTCCAAGGTTTAATTCAACTAGTACAAATGACTTGTGTTTTAATAAGTTATGTAGCTATGGAGAGTAGTCTTTTTGAATATATTTGGAGTCTTTGGACACTAATGAACAGCACAAATTCATTTTCCTTTTAGTGAGCAAAGTTATTGTTGGAAACCAGAGTAGTAGCTGTATTTTATTTTCCAGAATGAAAGAAATATAAAAAATGAGTGAAATATGTTAGGGATTAAGTGACTACAATTTATCTGAATTTTAAAGCAACTTCAAGTCTGTGTAGAGACATCAGCTGGAAAATAACGTGTTCCCCAAAATACCTAAGAAAATTAATCATCTTGGTCAAACATTGAAATCTTTTGCTGCATATGTTATACAGACTTTTCATATAATATTTTAAATAAATCTACACAGCAAAGTTAACAATAGCTGTGCCCAATATCTAAGCGGCTGAAAATCTTATTTTCTAGAACTATTCCTGCAGAAGTTAGCCTCATTTAATGCCTCCATTTCTCATTTTATAAATCAACAAAAAATAATGTTATTGAAAGATGTCTCTGCTATAATATTGTTGGATACTCCTCCACTGTGAAGGAGTATCTGTAAACACTGTCACGCATTGGGCTATCTGCCTCCACCTGATGTCACGTCCCTGAATTGAAATCAACAAGGAACCAGGAAAAAAAAAAAATAATCCCAACCACTCTGATTTCTCTGGTGTACGTTCTGCAGCAGACTTTAATGCACCTTGAAAGGATGTGCTTGGAAAGCAAGAAAAATTGGATGGATGAAATTGAGTGGAACGGACAACAGCAAAGAAATTCGAAGGAGTAGAAAGAGAAGGGCGTGAGAAGAATGAGGTTCTGAGAATGCTGAGGCTCATCTGTGTCACACCAGGGTTTTTGATGGTGAAAAGACAGGCATGTGCAGACTTAACATGAAAATGATTACACCAATCAGATGAGTCTTCCACTTAACATAGTCTTCAACAGCAGCCAATCCAAATGCTTAAGGAAAGAATGCAAGAAACCTGGCAAGTATATTCTTTCACTAGTGCACCCTTCTAGCTTTTGTCACTCATTGTTTAGGGTATTCTGGAAAGTACTCAATAGCCCCCCATGGATCTTTTTACCTTCACTAACTGGTTTTAGACTATTTTGAACCAATTAAATTTTGGGGTTTTCGGTTGGTGGTTTTTTTTTTGTTTGTTTGTTGGGTTTTTTTTTTTCATTTTCATGGAATCAATTAGATTCATTTTTTTTTCCACAACACCCTTTAGATGTTCCTGCAGTAGGCTTCAGCTGTGAAGCCTTATAGTTTTTCATATTCAGTTGGCAACATTTTTTTTTTAATTGAATGTAGGACACATAAATGCAATTTTTAATCTCTGCTTCACTTTCCCTTTGATGTAATAGGACTAACAGTACCTTCTTTCTTCCCAAGGTGGCTGCTAAATTGAACAGATTTATGAGATCCTTAATCTCCTACAACAAGAGCCATATAAGAATTTGGACTTCATACATGCTAAATATTTCAAACTACAATATTTTAATATATGAATCTATATACATGCATACATACATAGATGTGTCAATATACACATCTGCACATGTATGTGGGTGCATATACACACTCATCTTACCTTTCTTACATTATCTTCAAATTACATTTTTGGAATTTTTTGAATTCTAATACGTATTTTCTATTTGTATTAAAACAAGTATAAAAGTGTAAGAACAAGCGGATGAAAACAAATGAAAGATATAATCCACTGTTGATATTTCATATGGATATATCAAACACTTCTGTTAAGTTCTGGTATTCTGCATTAAAAAATGTTGACAGATCACATAGAAGCTGAAGAGCCATCTTCCACCCACCACCGCAGGATAAGCAGCTCAAGATATGGCTAGGTGTTTCATTCTTATCCTGATTACTACAGACACATGCATCTCTTACAAGAACAATTATATGAAACTCTTTCAAACCCTTCCTCCCAACCAAATCATCCCAGCATTTTTCTTCAGTTTGATTAAGAAAATTATTGCTGAAGTACTCTTTTAATGTAAGAGAACCCTTTCAGAAAATATTTAATATATTTTATCCTTGAAGGCATGGTATTTTCTGATGAAATAAGCAACATTTAAAGATATTAATCTCATTAAAAAATGCTGTGCTATAAAGTAGTACGACAAAAAAAAAAAAATAATTACCTTGCTTAACTGAATGCCAGAACTCTAAAAATTTCCCTGAGTCATAAAAATCACACTGTAAACAAACTAGAAGACAACCCTGCCCTCCAGAAGATTCTGCAGAGAAAATTCCTCAGCTTCATGAGAAACAAAAAAGTAAGTTTTTAAGTTGCAACAAATGGTAAAGTAATATTATGTAGTAGTAATAGTTTTCTTGTATCAGCCTAAGAGTTGTTCAAATCTCTCAATTTCTCTCTTGAAAGTCAGTCATATCTGTTGCATGTTTTATGTCATATTACTGTGAAAAGAGAAATAAAACTATACGCTTTTGGCCTGGTCCTAATGTTAATTCATTTAGACAAACAACCACTACTTTGTATTTGCAACAAGCTAAGAC